GTGCAATACTGAAAAATGGGAGTATCCAGTGAGCAGCTTCTACTGCGCTAAACCAACGGCTTAGAAGGTCCGCTGGATAGGTAAACGTAGGTGCAATGAGGGGTAAAGACGAAAATAACGATACCATATCATGGTTGGAGCTCGTGCAGACTCCACACACGTGGAGTCAAAACTTCTAATTCTCAGGCCTCTCCTAGAACCACAGGATGTAGTAGAATGTCATCCTACGGCAGCGGATCTACCAATTGAGGGATAGTGTGGGAGAAGACCCTTCCCACTCTATCCCTTACAACAACGTCGCTTAGAAGATAACAGCCAAGACTGTGACCCTCTAACCTGTACGGGACTTGTAGATAGATGTAGATTAACTGGGTGAAACTATTTTCTTGGGATAAATTGTATTGATGGAATACCGTGTGTTGAGAGACCACCCCTGTCTGTGTCCTCCCCTGTCTCTCAGGAAGTTGATCGCACAGCTCATTCAGAGTATCTTACCAGGGAAGTCCGCCAACTTACCATGGAACTTTGAATGGAGACCTGGGTAGATCGATAGAGTAAGGTTATTTACAAATATAGATAGCAAAACTGCAACCTGCATTTCACAAGCAACTTATGAGCAGGTAAAGTTTGTAATGGTGCAGTAGGGTGGAGGCTTGGTGGTGCTGTGAAGCATAAGCGAGGAATCGCATACGTCGAATCGAGTCGTGGTGATGGTTCAGTGGTAAGGTTCGACGTATGATTCCTCGCTTATGCTTCACAGCTCACCAGCCTCCACCCTACTGCACCATTACAAACTTTACCTGCTCATAAGTTGCTTGTGAAATGCAGGTTGCAGTTTTGCTATCTATATTTGTAAATAACCTTATAGACTCTATCGATCTACCCAGGTCTCCATTCAAAGTTCCATGGTAAGTTGGCGGACTTCCCTGGTTAGTACTTGAAAAATAAGGCTCCAGTCGTACAGGAGGCTTGGTTCATGCTACAAATCAAGAAAAACAACGACTAATCGTGAAACTAACCTCTTAAAGCGTTCATATCCTATTTCTAGCAGAATCTGGATAGGAGTCAGCGCTTCTAGCCGAGGAAGCATCAAGTCCTGTGATTGGGCGTCGCGTATCAACCGTGCTATTGATGACTTATTGTCTTCGTGTAACTAGAAAAGAAATGCAGCAATACTACGTGGACCAGATTAACGAATAATCAGAAGCAAAAATTTCAAAAGTACCGTACAATAGCATTAATGCGACATTGCTTCAGAGCATCGAATACGATATTCAGAGCGGCCACTAAGGCTTTGTAGTCCGGACACTTTTTCAATATATCCCACAAAAGCTCAGTGAAGTCGACATGTCTGCAAAAAGAAACCTTAGGAAAGAGATAGCATCTATGAATTTAGAAGTTACCTAGTTCCGTGAAGGGTTCTCTCCGCGTCATCATTCTGGATACGGTATCGCGCTATAAGTTGCCTTACTTCATCGAGCAAACCATCTACATTACCCTCGTTCCCAGGAGGCCACACCATCGTGGAACCAGAATCCAGAACATTTGCCATCAACTTAAATGTTATAATAAGACGTTGAGTACCATGGGCATGACCTTGTTCAAGAGGCTCGCAGAAAGAGAAATCACAAGTTCTCTGAAAGACGAAAGCTTCCAAATACCAAAATGATACTTACTAGCAAAAACTCGAGCTGTTCCGTAGCCTCCAATAGAGCGACACGTTTGTCTTTCCATCCAGGCGCAAAGTGAAACACTGCAGACGCCGATGGAGGCGGTGCACACAGGTAGCCCTCGACCTACGATTGTATTCCTTGACAAGCTATATCCTCTGGCTCCCTTTATTTATGGCAGTACTACACCTTTGCATCCCATTTGAATGTTAGAGTCATCTTAGAAAGGCATCTTCGTGGTCCCCATGTGGAAGAGACATTGTTTCCTAAGATCTGAATCAGAAAATAAATCTCAATAAATGGAGAATACCTGACAAATCTGCTTACACTATATAAGGCGAGCGCCTTGCTTTTTGCTTCGAGACCATGTTTGAAACGATTATCAAGCATCTTAATGGTACTTTCACAGCTTTCTCCAAATCGACCTCAAAATTGCTCATAAATCGGACATGAAACGATGTTTATCTTTGCTTCACCTCTAACAACCCAACAAGGAGGTCTCTCAAGTCGTGGGCCCTTTTTTGAAACGATCTGTGGTACGCTCCAAAGGTTGGAGAGAGGGCACGTATTACCGTGGGGACTTTTGCAAAAACAGAACCCCCTCGAGAAATCCTTACCTGGTGCAATCCCTCTTTCCCATACCACCTGTAAATCTTTTAGAATTCTCCCAAGGTTTTCTCTAGAAATATCAAAATAATAAAATCAAATAGTTTTAAGAAAAGCTGAAAAAGCAGCCGTCGAACAAGGGGGGAAGGTATATGCAGAGCACTCCAAACAGGGAAAACTGAGAACATTTCTCTCTCAAAGTTTCGCAAAGAAAACTGAGAACATTTCTCTCAAAGTTTCGCAAAGAGCAAATCCGACCCCCATCCTTCCAGCGACCAACTACGACTCCCTCACTGAAGATCCACAACCTACGACTTATCCTGTGCAGAGAGCAAAGAGGTGTAGTTTGTTCGCGCTGCGTTCTGGAATTACTAAGAGAGGGCGAATAAAAGCTCTACGAGTTTACCAGGAACTCGATAAAGCTCTTGTCTTTTTCACAAGAGATTCGGGGTATCAACATTTTTCGTTTGAAAAGAGAAATCCCATTTACAAGAGAGAGCCCCAGAGCGCAAAAGAAACAAAACTTGCAGGAATGCAAAACCTAAGGATTTCGAACTATCATCCTATTGTTCCCCATTTCTTTGACCTTCCCAAAGGCGCACAGCAATAATGGACCGCACTTCCAAGGCCCCTCATATACGTGTACAAAAAGCAACCAACTTTCCGACAATAGGCTCCACGACCTGAAAAACCTTCCTAAATTCGAAAACTAGAAGTGGACACACACCCAAACATCTAGTGTGGAAAGTGGAGATTTTGTTGTTGGTGCGTTGGCATCCTACGAATGTTGTTCCTAGTTGATCTTTTGCATTTGCGATTATCCAAATTGGCATAGCCGCAAGATGGTCATCCAATCCCGAAGAAAAATCTTTACGCATCATTCTGAAAGACTGGAAAAGAATAAACACTTCGATCAGTCAACACTTGGCTGGTGCAAGAGAAGTAGCCATTTCCATCGTGAAAGCGTTCAGACTTCGCGACGGCAGCGCTTCGGTCGCGTCCAACGCGCATGTTTTCGACTGCATTTGTCGCGTCGAAAGCCCGTTCGAAGCGCTGCCGTCGCGAAGTCTGAACGCTGCCTTAGTTTCGTTTCACTGAAGCATTTCGTGAATTCCAATCAATCACGATTTCTCTGCGTCGCCAAGCTTACAAGGAGGCCAACGAGATATGTTGATGAGAGGTTAGCGCAAATGGGGGAAAAGAGGGTTCAATATCATAAAAAAACTTTTGAAACCTAAATTCCATGAGCGATGGAAACATCACCGCTGCTGGTTATTCCTCCTCGACTCTGAGCTTCAGGAACTGGGAAAGGGCTGCGGTGAACAAGTAAACTCGCATGATTAGCGACTTTTCGATATCGCTCTGTTCTCCGCCCTCTCCTCTTTACCCACAGAATCCACCAAAAAAAGTTTTGACCACGGAAAGACCATAGAAACGCTGAGGCCCTTGAGTATTTACAAAAATCATTTGCAGATCTCTTCCATGCACAAGAAATTACACAAAATATCTCTCCATTTCGCTGCGTTTCTTCTGTTTAATCATGGTTTCCGGTGAGCAACGGGTACACAAAAGCATGTGCTCCTACCTGTTACGAAGACCAAAAGCTGAGGCCGCATCAAGCGGATTGCAGTCAAAGTAATTTGTCGATACAATAGGACGGTAAGCAACCTCTGCCAATAAAAGAAAATAAATGCCAGGGGTCCTGTTAACGTAGCGGAACACTTACTTCCTCCATCTGCTCCACATCGCTGTTCAAGTTTTGATAGAGAAAGAAAGTCGAAAGACACAGCGGTCCATCACCACCTGCAGTATCTGTATCCATCGTGTGCTCTGGCTGCATCTGTATTTCAGATTGGCTCTCTATTTTCACGTCTTCCTGAAAAGGCAGAGTATTCACTTAGTTTTAGCGTTTACCATAACATACAACCCAGTCATGACAGAACTGTTGAATTGCCTGAGCAATCAATTTGGGAGTGGATAAAAGGGTATACGAACTGAATATACGACGAAATCTACGGTGTGTCGAGACGGCAATTATCTATACACCACGACGCTGTCTGACGGATTCCATGTTAGTCCAATCAGCATAGGGATACATCTTCACTCTCCGTGCGCACCAAGTCGGATCCAGCGAACCCTGCTCGAGCCTTAAATTAACATTATTTCGCTCAAAACAGAGAGAACATATTCGCCTGGTGAAGTTTGCTTAACTTCGGGCCACGCCCAATCTGTGAGACCGAAGAATGGAGAAATGTGCGAATTGGGAGGAGACGATCGACTCCCATCTAGGCTTTTGGCACGCACTCGTGCGCTTCGTGTATTCTCCGAATCTCGACTGTCGCAAAGCATAAACGAAAATGACAGAGAATGCAACGGAAATCTTTTGATATATTCTCGGACCGTGTTCAAAGGCCACAATCCCCCATTGAAACAAGGAACTGTACGAATGCACCTCCAAAGGAATCCTGATTCTCGCTCAACGAAAAAAGAGTACGTAGGCAAGACAACTGCCAAACTGCGTGGCAATCATGCCCGCGTTGGGGGGGGCCGGGTGGCGAGCGAGTCGCGCTACAACAAGAACAAGTGCCCTGCATTGGGCGTTTGGATATTGACCTTCGGAGACCAGGAAGCGCTTTGATCATCTACAGCTCAATAAGTCAATTACCTGGCGCGTAAGCTGATTGGACGCTAGTCAAGGTTAAGGCATCCAGTGGAGACCATGTGTTTTCTCCAAGGAGACAATCCTTCCGTTTGACTCTAGCTGGTTCCTGCGCGTTTAGGCTAAACATTATTGGAAGAAAAACAGAGCACCCGAGTGCTCAATGTCCAATTACGGTTAAACGTTGTATATTTCTTCTACTCCATGATTTCACCTTTTTTCAGCAATTCACATTGTATTGAAATCAACAACCAGATAACGAACATAACATGCAGGCGGAGAAATTACAAGAGCCTCACCAGCAAAGTATCGTGGCAGTCCCCAGTTGAAGCAGAATATGGAACTTTCAGTTGTTCGTAGCCAATCACGCTCGTCATCTGAAAAGCTCCAGAATGGTTACCTTGTAAAGGAACGTGGTAAAAACGGAAAATCACGTGAAATAACAAGGTTTCCACCAAAGGATGCTATGATAATATCATCCAGCGATAATCCAAAAGAAAAGGAAAGTGATGAAATTTGGAAATGTGGGAGCATCGATTCAAACGTTGCTGTTTCGCGCGTTGTTGCGAAAAGAGCGCGAGTTCAAACGCGTTTTTTATAGAAGAAAGATGATGGTAGCATCTATCAACGAGAAATCATTGAAAATGAAAAATCTTGGACTGATTGTAAGTTGAAAATCGAGCAGCTGAGAAACATTGAGAGAGGTTCAAAGGAAGCGCCCAACCTTCGTTTCTCAAATGCCCTTAGAAAGGAGCCAACGAAAGCATGTTCATCTTTCCTTGCTCAACGCTTAAATTCGCCTTTTTTTCGACTTTCTTCTCAAGTTGGATCACTCGTCCGAATTGACCGCTTCTGTTCTACTTCTATTACCAGGCTATGGCATCGTTGTGTGAAACACATAGGGGGGTCGTACTTTTCCACAGAGAAGGGGGGTCGTAATTGGTCCTTGGTCGTCGTGAGAGGATCGGTCGTATGTGCCTTCGAGAGAAATTTGCCGCGTTGGAAAAAAATTTACCGGTTTTGGACTTTTCGCGTGATTTTCCTGTTTTATGTGTACTATATAAGTAGGTAGGGGTAGGTGTTATTGAAGGGGGGGGGAGGGTCGTACCAGCATCCTTTTCCGGAGGGGGGGGGGGTCGCACCGACACCACCATCTCACACATCGCGATGCCGTACCCCGTCCATTACTACCCCAATGACTCGAGAAAAAGCCTAGCCGATACGGGTCATTCCCCGCCCAGATCACGAGTGTGACTCGTTTCTGACGCTGGGCCACTTGGCCCCACTAGGCGCCACTT